GAAATTTCCCGGAAATTTTCCATTCCGGAAATATTTTAGCGTGCCCCGGCATATCAAACACCAAAAAATACGTAGGGGCCCGCCGGGCACTGCCCGGCCAATTCAAGAAGTCTGTGTTTCTCGTTAACGAATGGGAGTTTTGAGCTGAAACTTTAACAGAGCATAGATATAATGATTAACTATTATATACTGAAATGAAACTGTAATATTCGAAACCTGAGATATGAGGGCGAATGAGGAAATCACCACCCAGAACCGTGCAATTTTCTCAAGGAACGCAACTTATCGGGTGATGTGAAAGTAGTCCTTGGGAAAACTCTAATTCAGAGAGCAGAACCCTGAAGGCAGCCCTCGATACCTGCTCTGGACTGACTCGCAGCTTAGCTGCTAGTAGTCTACATTGGAATACGACGAGTTGAGTAGAAGTATTTAATCAATCAAGTGGTCTTCGATATATGCTCTTCTGATTGGTCAATACTCAGTGTTGACCAATCAGAAAGACATATATCGAAGAATATGCTAAGAATATGTGGAGGGGTGTATGCGCAAAACTTTTGCGCGTGTCGGCACGCGATGAAGGATGATTCGCAAACCAGGATTGCAGCTTGATGGACCTCTCGGCCAGTTCAATGAGAGATGTAGTGGGACTCCCATTTGGTAGAGGAAACGAGAAACTCCCCTCACTGATACGGCCAGCTAGTGTTGAAGTTCTTACTATCGCTCCTTGTCGAATCTGAAGTTCCTCGAAGAGTCTCTTTAATTCTATTTCACCCGCCCGTCCAAGTAGGAATTACGATTTTTGAAACAGGCGCATTGTGCTCTGAACCAGATTTGGTCTGGTGAGTGGTCTGAATGTTATGCTTATCAGTTTAAGATCGGTAAAGCCGGGTCCCCTTTTTGTCCCACTTGTTTACTTTTGGGTATTGAAGTCGTTGATGATGTAGATCATAGACTCTTTAGGTGCCCCAGATTTAGAGAGGTCAGATTACGTTGTTTTGGCCTTTCTTCTCTGGAACCGGACAGATGCGATTACGTTGGTAGAAATACCGTTAAAGTCGCGCGGTTCGTTGCTTTGGCGAGAGATGTATGATTACCATACTATACATCTTTCCCTTCTCCATTCGGATGAATGGTCTTGGACCGTAAAAAAACAGGCGCTGAAAAAGTGTAGAAGCTATAGATACTCGTTCCGTTATCGCACAAGATTAACTTAACTCGATCATATTTGGACGCACTGTTGCACACAACAATGAAATATGGGAGGGTCAATAAATGATTGAAAAACAAGACTAATGACTGATTGCTATGCGAAATAATCAATTCGCGCGTGTGCCGATACGCATTCCTATAGTCTATTTTATTTCACTCTCGAAGAGTGTTTCTACTTGAGTTCACTCATACCTATCTTATTATTCTTCCAATCATACAAAAAATAACGTCCAATGAGGCTAGGGAGTCCAATAGCCCATAGAGGATAATCGGTCACATTAAGAAGTACGCGGCAATAATCACGCCCTTGAGCATCCGTTCTAATATCCACATATGCATCAGAGGGGATCTTCACCTTGACGTCCGAACCATCTAGACCCTTTAGAAGAAATTCTATCGGTGGAAGGTGTTGTCGTTGATTACAATTGACGATAAGCTTAGGACCCCTTTGGGTAATCGTCACCTTACTGCTTGATCGAGTCTCAAGATCTTTTATAAGGTTAGGAAGAGTATACCTATGCATAGGTATGAATATGCACTCTGCCCCAGTATCAAGGATACCATTATCATTCACAGCCATTACAGGATACGCGCTACCTCCAAGGGAGAAGCCAGTAACTCGGACATACCTGGATTTAGTAGTAACCGCTACATAGACCAACGGACTTTTATGCATACTAGGATCCGATCCACCGAGAAGGAGTTCCCCTCTTTCATTAGTGCCATCATGCCTGAGGTAGATCGAGAAGATATTACTCTCGATAAGCTTCTGTGAGAGAAGTTGTTCTATTATCGGAACATATGGTGATTTTGGGTCAAATTCCGGTGCCAATCCGAAACTGGCATGAGGGACTGGCACATTGGGAGCGCACGTGTATTCAGCAACCAGACCGAATGTAATAGTGGCACTGACAGCTTGGCCGAAATGGGCCGTTGCAGATTCCTTGAAAATCCTTACTTCGGATCCATCTCCGAAATGTATTATATGAGATTTTCCCTCCCTGCAAGGTTCAGGGCTGCATTCATAACAACCGAAGATGATATCCTTGCACCTCCCTGGATGACCCTTCTCATACCAATGCTTCAGAGAAAGAACGTTGTGGGTTCACCGGTGTCAATAACACCATAGACATTTTGGCTACCGATTGTTACTTTTCCAACTAGGAAATACACATCGGCCTCTTCCGTAACCTTCTCATATGATATAGGAACCCTTATGAGAGATCCCACTACACCGGATAATAGGGAGAGAGGGAAAAGTAGAGAACGGAATATGTCCATCTCAGATTGGAAATCAGCTACAAGACATAAATTCAGGTAAGCCAATCACCACTGGTGAACAACCCAACATTGGCATCGGCGCTAGATGATGAGTTAGTCATCAGAAGATGTTTACAACTCGCTATCGAAGTTCAAACATATCCGGATGCCACCGAAAAAGGACATCGATCAACTCGCGTACTTCACGTGGAACGCTACGGATGAACAAGATTCCGCACAAGCTTGCGCGGCCTAAACCTGCTACGAACCGTAAGCGAATAAACCAACTATGGGAAAGTATAGGGCAATAAAGGAGTCAAGATAGACACAATCACCGTTGGAGGCGACTGCCTATTTCGTGGTAGCGGTACCTGAGGTAACACGTGAAATTTCGCTGAAATTCGAAATTTCGTGTAATTCTGAATATTTGGATGCGCCCTACCGCGCACGCAAGCCTAGTCCGGTCCCGATGAAGGTCAATTTATTAGGCTAGGCCAGCAAGCGAGCGAATGGTTTGTGCTGTGGTCCGTCCAGCCCTCTCACAATGGCATCATGCCATTGTGAGAGGGCTGGATGCCTATGTGAGATGGCTGGAGGCCAATGTGAGATGGCTGGATGCCATTTTGAGATGGCTGGATGCCAATCTGAGATTACTGGATGCCATTGTGAGAGTGCTGGATGCCACTGTGAAAGGCTGGATGCCGCTGTGGAAGGGCTGCAATGATAATCATTCCGCCGCTGGATGCCATGGTGGGAAGGCTGGATGCCGTTGTTAGGCTTCTCGGGACGAGTCTCGTCCCGATCACAGCGGCATCACGTTTACTCTCAGAGTGAACGTGGACTTGCCTGGTTCGGATGTATCGAGCTGCAGCGTGAGTCTGTCTGCACTCACCATCCAATAGAGAGAGTATAGTAGTTTTCTATTGCTTTGAGTGGATTAAACCTCGGTTGGTGACGTCGCATCGCAAATGAGTTCTATTCGTTCCGCCAATGGGGTCCACAAGTATTCGTTGAACTGATACATGATTTCGATCATCGGCACGTGATACTATATATGATACATTACCTCTTTAAGAGAGGCTCTTTTTGAGATGCTCTGACGCGTGGATGTCGACTTGTCTGACTCAATTCCATGAGAATGGGTGACAACGGAGGGTGGCACTGTGAGAACTCATCACTGAGAAGGTTGGATGCAATAGTTTGAGTGCTGATTGAACCTCGTTGAAGCTGGATGTCAGTGTTCTTAAAGAATGGATGTTATTAATCGGAGGCTGAATGACATCATGTGCCACACGACGTGTGTAGATCCACGTTGTGTGGATGACTGGGACATATAGCATGGCAGGGAGGATAGACAGTATCATGATAGGGAAGGGCGATAGTGTGCTTCGTGGAAAGTGAACGTTGACTTGCCTGGTTCGACATATCGGGTTGCAGCGTGAGTCTGACTTCGCTAAGCGAAGTTCGCTTACCATCCAGCATAGCGATTCGAATAAGTTTCTCTCTCCTTAGTGGAATTGGTTTATATTCCGCTCGAATTTGGTTGGTGGTCTTCCACATCGTAAGACCTTGCCTTGTCTATTCGTTGCTGAATGGAAGTGTGAGTCACCGGTATATAAGGTGGAATGTGACACATCATCATTACTCTGAGCATTCGAGTGCGTGAACATCGTGTCGTTTGACTCGACTTGGAGTTATAGAGTGAGACGACTTCACGGCTGAGCCGTGACGGCTCATCACCTCGTGATGTCATCATTGAATTCTAGTAAGCTCACTGAGAGTGAATGGAGGCTAGGGGAATTGGCAGTATTGTGAGAAATGAACCTCGCAATATTATTCGATATTTGTTTATAGTACTACTTTGGTTGTAGGAATTGGAACTTCCAATTTGGAAGACTTGCCCGGGAGGGTGTGGAACTTTCGGAATTCCGTCTAAAGAGCGTGAGATCTTTCGGGCTTGCCTGTAAATAACGTATATGAGTTACATGGTTCAACCGGGAGCTGCTCCCGGGGGTATCACGCTCCCCGGGAGCGAAACTTCTAGAGGCTATTCCACGACTGATTAGTGGACGACTATTAGTCGTCGACTAATCAGTAATAGTCGTACGTGCATCGCGTTAGAATATGGACAGAATAACTCGATATAGCGTCGGTATATATAGCTGAGACAGCTTCAAGCCTTGAAGCTGTCTCAACTGAGGGAGTTTAACTTTGAATTCATATTGGGCCGATTTCGTACCCTGATGGACTTTTCACGCATTCATCACGTGAGAAGTTCTCACTGAGAACTATCAAGTAGACAATTGACGGTCAATTATCGACCGGGACTGGGGGCCAAGGAACTTTTCCTGGAAAAGGACAAGGGACGGATGAGGGTCCAAGGTTATTATGGGCAGAACGTCTCTTTTTCCGGGTTCGTGAAGAGGGCGAGCATGCAGTTTAGGAATATAAATGGAGGCCGTTCGGAAGGATGAAAATTGGCGCCACAAGGGAGGATCATTGTGTTTCTTCCATCGAGGCATATCTTTCTTGAAGAACGATATGACTTGTATGAAACTACGAACTATTGCTTAGATTTATCGTCATTGAGGATCCGACGAATTGGATCCGTCAATGTGAGGGTCCGTGGAGGATCAATGGGGACTCTCCATTGGAGAGTAGTCTAGAATCCCGAGCAATCTAAGGCGGGAGCAACCATTTCAGATAGTCTCTAGAAGCTGGCATGTTCGCAGGGGAAAACGAGCTATTGGAATTTCTGAATTGGAAACTTGATTTCAGTCCGATGTTGCTTCGGAGACAACATATCACATAATAAATCAAAACCCTAGAAAACTCATAAGCTTGAACGTGGTGAAAGCAACCGCTCGTGGAAGTTCAACTGGAAGTGCTTGGAGTGACTATTCTAGTTGAAGCTCTCAAAATCTACATGGTTTCTCAGAATCTGAGACTCAGATAATAAGATTGTTCGGGATGGGGAGTCGACCATACCGACGGCGATGGCGGATCAGATCCGAGAATCGAAAATTCACGAGATTCTCGTGAATTTTTTCGGAGGTCTGTCATGGTTCAAGGGATGCAATGATTCTCTTCCTTATTGGGAGTATGGAGAGCAATCTTTAAATACACAAGTGCGACAGATATTAAGCGTGTATAACCAACCTGCAAAGAAGGCGATGCGGTTGTCCAGTGGGGAGCTTAAATTCGATATAGTGCATGTACCAAGGTGATAGTACCATCACCCGCCAGGTGGCACCTGATGTGCACCCTACCACGAGAGTATTTTATGCAGTATTAAATACTGATGATATCTGGGAAAACTATACAAATCTAGGGGCATCGGAATTGTAGAAACATTATTGAGTCAATAATATTGACAGAACTAAACGAGTTATGAGGTGTCGGAGAACAAGACCAACATGTTTTTAAGCTATGAGCGTTCAATGACCGGCGCCAAAGTTCATTGCAGATTGGACTGTGGAACGCCAGAGAAGATATTTTAAGTATCATGAGTCATGATTCATGACTCCCTTGGCAAATTGAGGTTGAAAAGGATGGTGCCGAGTGGTTATTAGAGCTATTATCGAGGGTTACTATCGTCGAGGAGCGCGCAACGCCAGTTCAGTGAACTGTGTTCATTCGTATGAGACTTTCAATGGGTCTGAGGAGCATACGCTATGCTGCAGTGCGTATATCTAGCAGAGAATTTATGGAATATTCAGCGAGGTCAAAGAAGTCTTACCTACGGGACAGACGCTTATCTCACGGTTAGGAATCCTAACCGTGAGAGGATCCTAACTTAGGATTCTGTACACAAACATGTAGTGTTTGACTGTCATACTATGACATACACTGTATGTCGCTCGGGGGACGTTTCATGGAGGCGATGACAAAAAAACAGCGAATGGTAACCTCGCTCTCGGTAACCTTGATGTGAGGGTGACTTTGTGAAAATAGGGCTAGCGAATGTAGTGGCGGCCACCACTCAACTGTTCTTAAACGGATTGAGGGCCAACGATAGAATCAAAGGATTAGATCATACGGGTGGCCAATCCGATTTGGAAACGGACAATGCATCGCGTGACATGGAGCGTCGATCTGAATATTTGCTTTTGGAGTTATCATCGCGGATAGCGACTGCGCGTGGAACCCATCGATGGGTGTAACAAATTGTTAGTAACAATGAGAAGTTGTGGACATGCAGTATGCTTTAGTATGAGGTTTGTGTATCCTCGGTGAGTGATAAGAGACAGCACACATCCGAACATTACTAAGCTTCGATGGTCCTCGAGTCGAGGACCTCGACTGAGAATGGTGGAGCGAAGCTAACAGGGACCGAGCATCAGCACGACAAATGCCCGCTGCACGATACTTTGCTGGCGGACGAGTTGACAGCACCCCCATTCGAGTGGCCACTGCCCCAGGATCAGACAAAGACCATATCAGACTCTCAATCTCCTCACGATAGCTACTATCTACAAACAAGACGAAACATATCACTTAAAGGGTAATGAACCGATTTCAGGAGAGTCTCCGTCGGAGACTCCGGGGAGATTCGTCTCAAAATCGAGCTCAACCCAAGAAAAAAGAAGCTTTCTTAGGATCCATCGTGGGAGGAGACCGCTTGTGACGAGTACTAGGCAGACCTTGAAACCTAACGCGTGACGCGCCTGCGTTCACGCAGGAATAATAGACAACACGCATGCACAGACCATGATTCGCACAAAGCAATATAGCAGCCGTAACACAGTAGAACCGTAACGAAATAATATCATACTAACGCAGCGTTAGCTATAGCATTAGTAACGCTATAGGATGATCACACGTTAGCAGGGCTCCGTACTCTCGCACAGGCCTACAGATCAAGAACCACATAGCTATTCTACTACTGAGAACAGCAAGACTTCAAGATCTCAAGAGACACAAACTGTTAACCGCGCACGCCCACATGATCGATTTAGGTCAACGTTCTCATGCGAGACGCTCATTTTTAAGTTTACCAAGCGTAAACTGTGGGTGAGAATGAAGTACGGCGCAGTGTGAAGTTCTGTTCTCTGGATGGCTCGAGAGGACACGTGGAACTACCGGGGGTTCCCTTGAATAGGATTGTACACAGATTAGCAGTACACCGTTGGTGATACTCTCGTGTCATGACAGTTCATCTCTCTCGGAAATGTCCTCTTCCGGTACCGAGCCGTCGGTATCTGAGGCTAACAAGCTAGAAGGTGACGATGTTGTTGCTACCGAAGCTGTACCCTCAAAGAGTGAGGCGGCAGGGGTCGACGGTCGTAGTGCTGAGGTAGTAAGCTGGGGGGAAGGGGTGCTTGATCTTTTTTCGCGTTATTCATGAGCTTTGTCGTAGGAGGCTGGTGTTGCAGTTGGAGGAAAGGAGGAAGTGGAGCGGGCAGCCACTGAGAACGTTGGGGAGAAGAGGTCTCGTGTGGAGGGCGCTGTTGAAGACGATTCTCCCAGTGAGGAACCTCCTACTAAGAAGGCCGCCGCGGGTGATGGAGAGCAACAACCATGCGAGACTGAAATCAAGGCCGATGCATCGGGTGACGCTACTGAAGTGAAAACTATCGCTACTCCCGAAGGTCCTACTGAATCTGATACTAGCTTTACGGGTAGTAGCAGGGGGCGTGTTGAGCATTGGGACGGTCGGTTGTCTTCAGAAGGGTCTGCCTCTGCTCCGACAACTAATCCTGTTACCACCCACGCTGAACCCGTTGCTCGGCCGATCGGACCAGCGCCTCCACAAGATGGAGCCGACCTACACCACTGGGGAGCTGATGCTGGACCGTTTCGGCACACGGTGAATGTTCCACAGCACTGTGTGGCGCAGATCATCGGTAGGGGCGGGGCGAATTTGATGAGCACTCGCAACACGACTCGCTGTCATATCGAGGTGAGGAGGTTCATCCGCGTCTCGAGAAGTGTTGAGATGATGGTATGTGTTTCAGTGTGATCAGCATACGAAGGACAACGGCTATTCTCTCTTTCATATCGACGCCACTAGTGAGGAGGACCTTCAGGTGAATTCCTATCACGACTGTATTTCTGTACTTCTTCGTATTCAGCGAGGCGTACGGGCGATCGAGCGTCAGACGAAACCCATGCACCCACTTGAGGGGGAAGTACAGCATGTCGTTGTTGTTCCTGACGAGCGTGTTGGCGATATCCTCGGGCCTCGAGGATGCGTTGTGAAGGTGTGTATGAGCGTATCCAGAAGTCAACGCCGATGAAAGCTCTTCAGGTGATATCGGATCGCACAGGGTGCCGAATTGACATCCAGCAGCGTGGCCTTCAACGAGGAGAGCCCCGCGAGTGCCGTATTGTTGGCTCACCCGAGGAGGTCCAGGCCGGAATACAGATGGTTGAAGGCATTAGGGACGGCAGTGTTGATGTCAAGGCGATCATCCATGACTTTGAGCTCGCCAACCCGGCATTTAGACGCGAGCAGGAAATGCGTGCTGCTGCTGCTGCTGGTGGTGGATGGATGACTCCTGGTAAGGGCGGTGGCAACAATATGTGGGAGACTCCGTATGGCATGAGAGGTCCTATGCCTCAGCAGGCTTCTTCTTATGGGGTGCCTGGTATGGTCAATCAATGGTCTCATCTGTTGCCTGCGACTGGGCCGATGGACAGGGCTGTTGTTGATGTCCCCTCCGATTGCGCTGGCCTTGTTATCGGTCGTGGAGGGGAGAGCATCAAGGCCTTGCAAGCTGACTGTAGCTTGTCGGAGTGTCAGATTGAGAAAGGTGTGGAGCAGCGGACACCTCGGAAGATGACTTTGCAGGGGCCGGCGACGGGAGTTCAGGCCGCGATAATGCAACTATCGATGAAAACCAATGGGAGGATCGTCACTATAGTGCAACAGCAGTTCCCAAATTACCAACCACAACAACAGCAACAAGGGCCTATGATGACGATGCAACAACAACAACAACAACCGCAGCAGCAGGGTTATACCGGAATGCCTCCATCACGAGAAGGCTATGGCATGCCAGGTGGGATGATGATGATGCAGGGTGGCGGTAGCGGGGGAATGGACCCGATGGCAGCTCAATACTATTCCCAATGGAGCGCATATCAACAGCAGCAGCAACAGATGAATGTGAACAACCAGCAGAATGCCGCGGCTTGGAGGAACTACTACGCTCAAATGGGCAATCCTCAGACACCCCCGTATCGAGGTGGTGGCCGACAGTAACAACACGACCAAGCGATTGGTCTAAAGGGTAGTAGTCTCGTGCGAGTTCTCCTCCCTGTAGAATTGATGACTTCGACTATTCTCAAGATGATCTTTGTGATTGGCTGAGTTGAGACTACTACGACCACTACCGGTTATCGCTGCTTCTCCCCCCCTGTTCACTCGCTTAGTTGCTTCTCTAGCAAAGAGGTCTTCACTCGCGGCCTGTGTTCGCATCGGGTTTCACCATGGGATCGTTTATCCGTTTTTATCAAGTTGTGATGATTCCTCGTCTCCCCGCACTCTCCCCTTTTCAGATGAGATGTGTTTTCTTGGAAGCTGATCTCGATGTAAGCCTCATCATGTTTAGGACATTTAATGATGATTTTAGAAGTTGTGGAATTCAATACTTGCACGTGTAAGCAGTGGGGTATTGGATCTACTATGGTTGGTGGCTTGTAGGACCTGTTCGCTGAACGTGGCTCGCTCTTGCGTTTCTCGACGGGATACGGCTCGCAGTGATTCGATTGAAGTCGTCGTTGGACTTGCGTGCGGCTGATGACGCTTCTCCTTTTCGGCTCGTGATGGTGTTTGGTTTCGCTCTTCGTGCCCTGCATCACGGTAAGGGTTTCATTCGAAATCTCTTTCCTATTCGTGATGACATTTTCACTGCTCAGGTCTGTGAATATAACTTCTAGACCTAGTGGAAGAAGACCTACCTTCTCACTTGAGAAGCTATGTGGAGTTTCTCGGGGCTTTCGCCGATCTTAGCGCTTCTACCTCACTCGAAGGCTTGTGTTATCATTCTTGGTGACATGCGACTAACATTGAACCACCCAAGAGGGCTCGGTTTTGTCACAAACGCTGCTAGTTATTCCTCCGAACTCTCTGAGTTGTTCAACTATACTGAACATCGCGTACGTCTCGGTCATCAGCATGTGAGCTTTTCCCATGTAGTTTTTTCGGATGCTCTCTACTTTGGTTTCGCGTGGTACTGTTGCTGCTGCTGTGCCTCTCAACACTGTGGCCAGTAGAGCGTTTTCTTCTACTGCTCGTGTGTGGGTCGACAAAAACACGAAAGTCATTTGCCAGGTGGAGTCTTTAGTGATGTTTCGATGTGGATGTTTGTTGTTTGTGCCTCAGGGCCTTACGGGTAAGCAGGGAACCTTCCACACTGCTCAAGCAATTGAGTACGGGACTAAGATGGTTGGTGGCGTGAACCCTAAGAAGGCCGGCACTACTCATCACGTGGGGGGCAAGGTGAGTTCAAAGACTTTCAAGAGTGTGCCTTCCGACTGGTTACGATGTTAGGATCTTCCGATTTTCGCCAACGTCATGGAGGCACGTGAAGCCACAGGGGCTGATGCCTCCGTAATTTATGTTCCTCCATCTGGAGCCGCATCGGCTTGTTTGGAAGCTATTGAGGTGGGATGATGATGATTCACTTCAATGTGGTGGATGATGTTCTGTAGGCGGAGATTCCACTCGTGGTTTGCATCACTGAAGGCATCCCTCAGCACGATATGGTCAAGGTGGCTCTGTCTCCTCCTGCTGGGTCTGTTTGTCAGTGCTCAGCTTTCAGGTGAAGGCCGCTTTGAAAATGGCAGGGGGTAGAACACGTCTCATCGGTCCTAACTGCCCGGGCATAATCAAGCCCGAAGAATGCAAGATTGGTATCATGCCTGGTTACATTCATAAGAAGGGAAAAATAGGAGTTGTCTCGAGGTGAGCACTTTCTGTGGAGAGTAGCGTATCGCACTAGTCTCTCAGGTCGGGCACTTTGACGTATGAAGCTGTGAATCAAACAACTGAAGTCGGCTTGGGTCAAAGCACTGTCGTTGGCATCGGTGGTGACCCGTTCAATGGTACCAATTTCATTGACTGTTTGGAGAGGTTCGTACAGGATCCTCAGACTGAAGGTGAGTCGTACTGATCGGAATATCTCTTTAAAGTTTTTAGGCATAATCCTCATCGGCGAGATCGGAGGAGCAGCTGAGGAGGAAGCCGCTGAATGGCTCAAGGAGAACAACAAGAACAACAAGCCTGTCGTGTCGTTCATTGCTGGAGTGACTGCGCCACCTGGTCGGAGGTGAGTCGCGAGATGTTCTTCGGCATAGCTTCGTTATGGTTGATTTGTTTCAGGATGGGACACGCTGGTGCTATCATCTCGGGGGGTAAGGGTACAGCTGCGACGAAGATTGCCGCATTGGAAGGATGTGGGGCGAGCGTGGTACGGTCCCCAGCTGACCTTGGTGTGAGAATGTTGGAGATGTACAAGCAACGTTACCCTGACAGAAGCGTGTGAGAAGTGCGGTAGCGCTAACATTCAATTTCCGATGCTCTCCATAACATTGTATTCTGTATGTACTACGCTCATTAAAACTATGATTTTTACGAAGTGCAATGTTGTCTTCGCAGACACGGGGCTGAGCCTTGGGAGTTGAGTTCTCGTAAGTGCAATCTTGGATATAAGTGATCGAGGATTTGTTCGCGCTCAACACTGGTTTTTAATAAATCGATAATATACCATCAAAGAGGCAGAACGAAGTTAATACTGCGTCCGCGTGGATGCTCTTGAATATGATCAATCTTGGATGGAAGCTCTTTGTTGTTACGGACGCGGTTTTCAATTTCGCCGCCCCAGCAAACAGGCGTCAAGAGTAGACCGAAAGGATATGGTTGAGATCTTAAATACTGCACTCATGCATAATGAATCTTTAAGCAAACTGAGAAAAGCATGTTGATTCTGTCTGCCTCATGAGTTTCTCTGCAGCGATAGCTTTTCACGTGAAGTACGCGAGTTGATCGATATTAGTAGAGCAGAAGGGCTCCGGAATGAGGGAGCACCAGGATGTGATTAGACTTTGATAGCAAGTTGAAAACATCTTCTGATGACAAACTCATGCGTGATCTTTGAGATGAACGTGCGTCAGAAAGAGCAACAGTAGTTGAAGTTGTTGCAGTCTAGTCGTGAAAGGGTTCGTATAGCATGCGGGTTCAAATGAAGGATATGTTCCAACTCGTGCCGCTATTGTGTATTGGTAAATTTGAGATATACCAATTGGATGGAGAATTTTAGATATGCGTAATTTACAGGAATTCAGTTCGACTCCAAGCGAGGGAAACTAGTATGTCCAAATCAGGAAAAAGATGTCGAATGGGCAGATGCGAATCTCCGCACCATCCAGTGGATGGCAACCACGATGGTCTCCAGGGTCAATAAGATCCTTATTCTTATTATAAGAAGACAGAAACCCGGCAAAATCTCATACCAATTGAGCCAGGCTTGAATCTCCCGCAGTTCAACACAAAGATAACGTTCATTCAAGAGGAGGAAGACCACCCGAGAATTCTCTCATTTAAGGCGAGGAAATAAAGCGGTAACTCAGTGAATGAGGCTGCGAGCAGAAAAGTTGATGGTATGAATCGTATGAGGTAATTCCTCAACACAAACATACGGGAAGAGCCCTTTTACACTCGGGCAGACATCAAGATTGATTGCCAGCCGCCGAAAAGAGGTCACCGGAAGGATAGTCAAGACGCTTCCTTGCTAAGGCAGCAGGTGCGATGCGTGATTGACGATATGATTCAGACCCAGCACTCTGCCAGCTGAGAGTACCCACCCACTCGAACCCCCTCAGATGTTATTGTGTTACTCTCGAGTACACCTCGTGCTCATTCACTGGTATATATGATTAGTTGCTGATGAATTCTCTGAGAATATCAACTTATGACTTCCGACTGTTTACACATAGCCACTGATAAACTGATAATTAATATTGGGTGCATGGGCCATGACGAGCCAGGAGCTACGTGTTCATGCCACAAACCCGCACTATCATATATTCAATAATAATACCCTTACACCTTTGAGTATGAAATCAAGAAGTCACTCGCGATATTCAGATCATTCAATGGGAAAAACCAAACTTCAGTATTGGTTTGCTTCTACGTGCCCATTCCCACTTCAAACGCGACAAGGATATTTACGTGGGTAATTTAGGGTTAGACTGACACATCATCAAACCCAACGACGCGTAAATCAAACCTCGATTCAGCAGCTGCAACTAATAAGATCTCCGGACGTTCATAAATACCCTCTGAACTACTGAGCCACCACACCAGTAAGATGGCGGTAGTAATGACGATCTACATGAAATAGGCGGAAGACATAACACAAGTCTAGCTGATATTCTTCATAGCGATTTCTACAGCGACTAACAGCAATAGGGGGGATCAATGCGAGGTGTATTGACAATAAAAGGTTCTAATCTTATAGGATATCAAGTAGTGTGTGTGCCACTGCATCCGCAGTTCTATCACTGAACACACTGAATCACAAAGATATGCGCATGAACGCAAGCGACACATGACACAATATCAGAGGATTAATCCATACATAACTCATTCGATGAATAGTACTATTACACCAGCAACAGTTAAGGCACCAACCTCAGGAGTTGAGGTGCTTATGGGAATCTCATCAGATAGGATGAATCGCTGGGCGTTTGATAGACGCTACGATTCATTATAATACTCACATCGTACCCACCTCTAATGCTGTGAAACATAGTCATTTAATAATAGTTACGGCCCTTACCCTTGCCGCCTTTACCACCACGACCCTTACCATACGGGCGTCGATAGCCACCGAAAGGACGACGCTGAGCAGCGATCGCCCCAAAAGTCTCTTTATCTGTGGCTCGTTGCTTAGCTCGTTGATCGAAGATAGCCGGATCGACTGCAGCACCTTGAGTGCTCCTCTCCTTACGGTCCAGAGCATCACAGGAGATGTCGTCGAAGAATCCCTTGTTCTTGCTATAGCCAGTCCTAACAGTCGTACCAGCAGTGGAAACAGCACTCTCGTCGGGTTTCTCGAGCTTGGAAGCATTGCCAGCATAATCAAACTCCTCCTTCACCTCAGCCTTAGCCTCAGGATTCACGTTCGGGACCAATTCACCAACAGGACCTGTACGAGTAGGAGGCCTCCTATGGGGCCTCTCGCTGCGACCATATCCACCATAGTAACCACCACCAGAGTAGCCACCACCCGAATAACCACCGCCAGAGTAGTAGCCACCACCCTTACCTTTGCCACCGTAACCCTTACCACCGTAACCCCAGTTGCCACCACGACGATCCTCCCAGCGACCACCACCACCACCACGAGCACCACTTCTATCATCTCTCTGTTGACGATTGGTACCACCAACCTTAGGGGCTTGATTCATGCTCACAATAGCTGGGTCGACGAGAGCGCCAGCCTTTTGACCAGCGCCCTCGAGGACAGTGAGATCTTTGATGTCCTTGCCTCGGAATATAATAAAATCATAAACCTCGTCGCTGGCAGGGACGTTAGGAACCTTGCGACCTTCGGTGCCAAACGATTTGACATTCTGCAGGGCTATAGTAGACTCCTCTGTGTTGATCGTGTACAGTATACCCTCGTAGCGGATCTCCGCGTTGGAGATGAGCGAGATCTTGCTCCCAATGTAAGGCAGTGATGAACCACTCATAAGCTGGAAGAGTTGATAACAAAAGAACGCTCAACGAGCTTTCAAAATCTGACATGAGACCAATCACAAACGATAAAAGGCACCACGGCAGTGAACGGATAAAATGCATGCACGCATACACACAGACAACCACATCGCGGAACCCAGTTTAGACCGAACATAAATCAACCATACAATAGAAGCATTGCCTTCTTGGGAGCTGGTGCAACAATAACGGCAAACACAGTCACTTATCATATCCAGCTCAGTTTCACGCGCCTCGAGGAGCGATAAAATCATAATGCACGCACGCACAACCATTCCGAGCTGCGTCACACAGTTCGCCATTAAAATCTTCACATAACACTCATTCGACTAATTCACAAATTCCATAAAAAACAGTAGCCTCATCATACTACTAGACCAACTCCTCTTCCCGATTGATCAACTACCGAAATTACCATTACAACAATCTTGACCTCAGAAAATCGCTCTCGGGCGAGCGAGATTCGACCACCACCACCGCACTCCGAAACTTTTCTTGTTGTGCCGTACTAGTACACCCTTGCGTGTGACAGTTCATGCTGACCTGGCAATAGGCCCGGGATGAATGTGGCAGGCAGCATCAGCAGTATCAAAGCTAATGATATTTCGAATGAGCCCTCCTTAGAAGCCTTCCATCGCAAATAGGCAATTTTATATTCTCAACACAGTCTCCAGTTCGCCAGTAGACTGTGATAGATCCGGTCAGTGTTCTCGATATGACATCAACGACAAGCTTCATAGCTTACTCTATGCTGCTACGGGTTTCTCAAAGTGTTTACCTCATTGCGAGCACTTAACGAAAATGTTGATGCCCGAAGGACAGGCCCGAAAACAAAGGCTTATAGAACAAGCTCGCAGGTGAAGTGAATTCGCTCATAAATTCTCATTCACCGGTTTTGTCTTGCAGGTCCTCTCGCTGGTGAGGACGGTAATATGCCTACCGTCCGATCGGCACAACACGCTGTATAAGTCCCCAATCTTGGTGTCGGGTAAATCAAGATTTACTACAGGTTCTGAAGGAGATGGTATTACCTAGAAGGTGCTGTTATGGACAGTTGCATGTTGGCCATTCCGATGTAGTAGAGCCGCGCTAGTCTCGTCGAGTTGCCTTGGACATCTAAGTGCCCATAGGGCAGACTCTGTCGGGGCACTCGCATACTCAGGTGAAGGAGGCGTTGTCTCGGTTGATGACATCAGTCAGCTACTACAAGTCGGCTCCTAATGTCTATCGTTTTTGATATGGTCATGCATACAGTTTCCTATAATCAACCAGGAATTGACTTTGTGTAATTTGTCCCTACTAGAAGCTGACTTGGTCTCTCAGGCTTTGAGCTTCCCCACTCACCATTGCCTCTGTCCATGACCGTTGGTGGCCGCCGCCGTCTGCCTGCTTCTCGGCTGCACTCAGGAGCTCCTGCTAGCTCTGTTAGGCTCATCATTTTCGATTGGGACTCTACTTTAGCGGAGCGTTCAGGCAAACTGGACCGAGGTAAGGTCCTCTACTGGTTGCGAGAGCTGCGCAGGGTTACCAATGCTACTATCGGTATCATGAGCTACAACACCCAGGGCGTTGCGTCTGATGACTCTCTCATTCTTTCCGAGCTGAAGTCTAGTGGTATACTAGGGGAGTATGTCCACAAAGAGAATATTTGGGGTTACCTCAATCCTTGTCACTGTCGTGAAGATCTGGAAATGCACGAAAACATGCATCCTATCTTCTGTGGTGATATAACATCAAAGGCTCGAGCCATCGGTCGTATCGGTCGTTATGCTGGCTTGAAACCCGAGGAAATTCTCTACGTAGACGACAGCTACAAGCAAATCGAGCACGCAAAAGCCCTGGGCGTATGTCACACATATCAAGGAGTGTACAAGAACCTGGCTGGGCTTACTGAGGAGGACTGGAAAGCGATAATTGCGTTTCTGAATGATCCTGCTGTTGGTCATCATCACAAGCTTTGGACGGGGTCTTCCATGGCTCCAGCTAGCACACTTCGCAATACCGTCCTAGAACGTGCATCTGGTTTCAGGACGACCAAACCAGTTACTAATTCGGTATCCTCCCATATTCCTGTAGTGCCTGTGAGAGTAACGGCCTGACCTCGCTCCTGCGGTGTTAGGTGCTGAAGTAGTGGGCAATATGGTCATCTCACTGCATGCTATTCTCTGAGCTAAACCGCTCTAGTCTTAGTAGCAATTCATATACTACAGATCTTACTAAACTATTATTTTCTTTTATGCTCATGTAATGATAAACACATTTCTGCAGGCAGGATTAGATTCTCGATCTGATCTTCGAGAAATTTATCCCCAAGCCCCATTTCTGTTTGGTCGTCGTCGTCCAACTGCATTTCTGCTTACTAGTCGTTGCACAATGGAGATGTTCGCACTAGATGCCCGCGGAAGCTCTAGTTGGTCGATGATGATCATTCTTCCGAAGTAAATGGATTGTAAGCCGATTACGAATTTTGTGTTGTGTTGATTACTCGTGGGAGGAGAAAAACCACAGATCCATTTATTGAAGAACACCGTTAAGGGAGTTGCTCATTGCATAACAAAAATTGCCTTTAACATAATTATAAACTATTATTCTATCACATGTGTTAGAAGATGCCCCGACTACAACAACACAAAATACTTCATATCTCGTTGTACATTTTTTCATCACAAATTCACACATCGGATCTTCACTTTCTGGCCCGGTTGACGGTTATAAGAAAGAGAGAGCCATTCAGACCAAATCAGATTATCCAATTATTGGCAAATCTCAAAATTCTCAGTCTGTTATTGTTTCCTCATCATAGTGACAAACTCTTCGAAATCAATTTCACCGTCACCATCAGCATCGACCTCGCCCAAGATCTCGTCAAGATGGCCTTCCACTAGGTCACTAACAGTTCCGTTGTGCAGGACTTGACTGAGCTCCTTTCGAGTGATCTTCCCGTCACCATCAACGTCGAAAACTCGAAATGCTGCCCATAGAAGATCTTCTTGAATATATTTCTTACCTGACAAAGATCAGTCTTATTCGGATTATAGCACAATAGTTGCAAAGAGTGTGAGAAATATTTTTGCAAGAAGTCATGTTCAGAGAGTTTCTATACAAATTTTCAAGTTTATATGAGCAGCAGTTGGCAATTTGGGGCTACAGCACGAAATTTAGGGCGTCGGGTTACGCCTAGTGTACAACAGATACGAGATGATTCTTACGATCAAGTGTAGCTGCTATGAACTCGGTATAGTCGATCACACCAGAGCCATCAGCGTCAACTTGTTTCATGATCTCTGCCAGATTCTCGGGGACTTCTTTAAGATCTGACAGGAGATATGCGAATCGCTCTCGTAAAAATGAATTTAATACAGCTATGGCTCGGAGGTATATTTATCATTAGCATGTGTGAGGAAATGTTGTACACAAGTGTCTCCTGCAACTTTAGATTCTTGTAATACTAGTCTCCCTTGCTAGCCTAGCGTATACTTTATGATTACTGTATTGATCATTAGTTGACAACCACTTGTTTATAACTCTTGTTGAGTTATCTAATCCTAACAGCAAGAAACAACTAGACCCTCACCAGCATGGTTGATTCCCTCGATGATCTCATGCACAGTGAGCTGTCCATCGCCGTTTTTGTCAATAGAAATAAAAATCTGCTTTAACTGCTCAATCTCCTCATCTGGTAGCTGTTGAGCAATAACGTGTAACGCGGCCTAAACGCCTCCCTCAACACATTCACGATATGGCGAATTCTATCCGACCTTTTTGAGTTTATTCTGACTTCGAAACGACTTCAAATTTTCAATCTGGGCCCCCTCTAGTGGAGCTCCCTTCGCCTTAGGGGCCTTATTACGTACCCATAGGTGGTTCAAGGCTTGTTCGGCTGAACAGGAGAAGAATTACACTTAACATTTTGGAGTAGTTCTCACCAGTGTAACGATCTCGAGGGTTGATCTTCAACAACTTCCGTATGAGATCCTTAGCATCTTCAGAGATGCCTTTCCAATCACTAGCGTTAAAAGTATAGTTGCCAAGCCGAACTTTAGTGAGGACATCAGCGTCAGTCTCGCCGTAAAAAGGAGGATAACCACATAATAAAATATACCTAGAAAAAAATCATACCGCACGCGGAAATATAAGTATAATTTACTATTAGATAAAACGTGTATTATATATATTTTATAGATAAATGATGATATCAAATCTCATTATATTTCCATACGCCATTCAGTGGTGGAGGAATATATGTTCGCTTCCCTCAGCTGAGTTCACAAGGTTTCTCACTAATTATACAAGTTTATATACGAGTTCGGGTAGAAGTGTAGAAAAACCAATGAGAATTTCCTCAATTTTCCTCAAAATTTCCTCAATTTTCCTCAATTTTCCTCAAAATTTCCTCAATTTTCCTCAAAATTTCCTCAATTTTCCCCAGAATTGCCACGAATGTTACCCCTACACATATAAACCACTACGTGCATATTTTCTTACACTGCATATATTCTCTATATTAATAAAATAAGAACATAATCATATAGAATCAATCATATATGAAATGGATGTATATATAAGATCACAGAAACCTGTCATCATAACGGCTTACATTATAACACCGCAACTCCAAAGGTCACAAGATTCATCATACTTTCCAGCGAGTACTTGAGGGGCAACATAATACGGAGTGCCCGCTTTAGTCGTCATTATATCGTCTTTGCCGAATTTCGTGCTAAGTCCAAAGTCTATTATCTTCAAGCAGGACTTCTCGAGAGGTTCTTTAGTAGAAAAAAGGAAATTTTCCGGTTTCAAGTCTCGATGCATTATATGGTTTTCGTGCATGTAGTAGATTGCCCGCAATATCTGCTGCATGATGATAGCCGCCTGGACTTCTGTGAAATGTCCAACTTCAATGATCCTATCAAAGAGTTCACCTAAAATACATTTTTACGTTGAGGAGTAGTAGTATGATAATATTATTACCTCCTGTGCATAGTTCCATAATTAGGTATATATTCCGATGATCCTCAAATGTCTCGAATAGTTTAATAATATTAGGATGATCCAACATCTTCATAATAGCTATCTCTTGTTTAAATCGATCTATGTTCTTCACATGGGATTTTGATATTGTCTTTACCGCACGGACCTGAACATCATCAACATATCGCTATCAACCTCCCATGGCACTCACAGCAGCAGTCGACTTGTTAATTGCCTTAGACACCGAACCGTAGGAGCCCTGGCCGAGCTTCTTCCCCTCAAGCTCATAGAAGTCTGTCAACGTTCCTGTGTTGTCTACTATGAAGTTGGCCCGAGCAAAGCCACCTTCAGCGACCTGAGCTCAACGACTTAACAGGGGTGGTTGATCGAGGGAAGACCTGTTTCGAAGGCAAACTGCTGCTATTTCCATTCATCGTGGAACTAGGCTCTGATTTGGACCCACATACGTTACCCATATTTTGGGACTTTAAAATGAATAACTCTAACGCCGCCGATTACAGTTACTCATAAGACAGTAAACCCCCCCCCCCCCCCCTCCCCCCTCGCGGAGATGTGTCGTGCTACAACTTCGCAAGGACGGCTTTCTCCTCATCTTAGTAGACTGCTACAGGCAGAGTTGCGCAGTGCCGTTGAGGAGATGCAAGATGGCTCAAGAGAGCAAGCTGGGCAACTCTCAACTGTCACAAATTTTTCTATTTTTTGCGGCACTTGTATCTCACGCGCCCAAGCGCCTTCTTCGTTAGAGTAAAACAGTCCAAACACGTGACTGGACCCACATGGAGCCGATGGTTGGGGATTCGCTAATACTCTACTCAGTAAACTGCCTCAGTTTAGAATGGTTACATCTGAGAGACTTCTTTTGATAATCTCATCAGTAGATTGCGTATTTGGGGGAATTCGCAAGAAAACGTCGCTCATGCCGAAAAAAGAGTTTGTGTGTTCAGCAATCACGAGTTAGCAAGTCTTAGTGGAGTTTGCTTGATCTCGATTATACCTGGGGAAAATTCGTCACTGCGCCACGCTATTCAGCTGGCCTTACTATAACTGTTCGCAGCTCCCACGGCAGGCTCTACCAGTGAAATGATCACATCCAGCAGCTGAGGTATCATCATTGCGTACCTGTATGGTGAGAGTATTTGAATATGACACCGCTGGGATTCGAACGCGGCACGTTCAACGCGCGGCCCCCTCGTACAGGACGGCGATAGCACTTATATCTCTGCATATGTTTCACATGGAAGGTGTTATTATCCGGAGTAGCCGCTGGGTTAATCGATGATATCGTGAATCCAACAGGAGTCTGCCTAAAACATGCCACTCTATGCACAACCTCGCAGACGCTAGTTCAGGCTTAGCAACGAATCCGATGGTCACTACTTTATTAGTAACGAGTAGTTTGAAATTCAGACTACTCGTTGCATCAACGCTTCCATCCCATTCAAGATGGACATGTCATGGCTAAACCCATTTAACAGACTCTTCCTGCTTCAACCATACCTTCAAGAACGCGATTCAAAATCGTTACTGCGCCGAAAACTTATTAATTATTGCGATTCTGCCTTTCTTCGGTAGCCATATATTTATTTATATTATTGTTGAGAGTTGTTGAGAGCAACTTCATGATAGCGAGAGCATGGATCACCATCACACCCACTAGGACGGCCATCCCTTCTTGTGAGCCAGACTGGCTCAGCCAGTAACTCAGTTCTTCCAGAGTACGAGTGGCCGATACTAGGGCGACGCCACACTCTACCCGGCGACGTCGCTCTAGTAACCGATACGCATGCGTTCGGCTTGATGGAGAACCCAGGTGCCCGACTAGTATAGCTCAACACTGTGTAACAAATGGACGATATAATCCAGTCATGTTCAAAACGAGAGTACCATAGCATACGTTTTCTTCCAGGCAACGCTGCCGAGCCGACAACAGCACTTAGCCGCGTTGAATAGTACAAAGAGGTCTTGTCGCTGATGAGGTCGTAGCTGTGGAATATTCACATATCGATAGTATCGCTGGCTATACTCGGATTCTGAACGGTTAGACAGAATTTTACATGCTAGCGGCGATGCCGCAAACTCCGGCAGTGATGGTGACCAGGGGTACGTCACGAGCAGTCTGGTCGATTTCACATCGACATTAAGTATCCGTTGGTCAAGCGGTGAAGTCGCCGAATCTTGCCCCGTCCCACCTGTCCTCCGAGGTGAAGTAGGTATTGGGGGGACAGAAAGAGGAGTAGAGGCGCCATCCACAGAACTATCCACACGTGAGAAAACAGCTGCTGAAGAACCACCAGCTACCACCAAAGCATTCCCAGACAGATCATCTGCTGGAATATCAGGAGTTGGGCCACGATGTTGACGGCTAGCAACAAATTGTCCCCTATCATTACGTCCTCGAGGTAAAACCATTAGATCTCGGTAGAACGTCCCTGAGCTGCAGGGATTGATAACACAGGTAGAACCAGCTTATGGGAAGCTTAACTTATAAAGATTATTAAGGGAAGGGGGTAGAATAGCTAGGCTAGACGCCAGCTACTATTATCTCCACTATGATAGTGGCACTATCACATAATTGTGTTGGCGGAGCGGAGTGGAGGGATGAGTATCATCACAAAGTCCATATGGTCACACCACACAGGCCTTTCAGAGAATATCGACGATGGCACATTCGTGAGGTGTGCCGAATCTTACTCCGGCACTACCAGCATAGGATCACTGCCAGGTTCATTCCACATGGGGCGAATCAAAAGACGGCGAGGATAATTAATGCTATCACACACTCTGTGCCAACCGTCTTTTTAACGACAACCCCACAGTGGAGGCCCTGATACCGTGGCGTCAGCCGACGAGCACTACTGAAGAATTAACAACACGAAATAAATGATGAGGCAGAGGAAAACTCTTAGAGTTGATAGTAACACCAACCACAAAATTGTCATCATTACGATAGCTTTCTGCTATCGTTTATAATAGTTTCTGTGAGCACTCTCCGGAGACTCTGATAACAACATCACGAGCCATCCATCTTCTTCGCGGCTCCATTACGGATGCTACTTAGAGCAGCATGTCCTTCAGGAACAGCGAAAGTCTCGATCTCGACTCAATGACGATTGACTCCGCCACGATTCATTGATTCCTTCAACGCAACACAATTCCACGCATGATAGCAATAGTAAATGACAGATACTGAGATGTTGAAGCAATGACAGAGCAATTTCCACAATACGTGAAGGTCTAGACGCTCGGAAAACACGTAACTATCTCTCGGACGAACTGCTATCCGTGGTTGAATGACCGCCGTCCTCCAGGTTTGCTGATGGCTTGACGTCCGCATATAGCTCGTCGACCCATCACTTGGCCTCAGTTTCAGCGGTAATATCTCCACGATGCCATTCGCCGATAATTCGCACAAAGAAAAGGGTTCCATGGGATGATGCTTTACGATCCGTCGCGATGATGAAGACCTGCGATAACGCTGGAATTTTGCGTTGACCATCCACGAAAGTGCGCGCAGTTGCGTGAGATATGTGTTCCAAATTGATGGACTTCTCGTAGTAGAACCCACTGTCACGGAATCTCCTCACATTCTTGACGGTCTCTCCTTCGAGAACCTCCCCATAGGTTGGTTTAAAATCTGCACATGCAGCCTCTTGGCAAGCTCTCAGTAGCTGACTCGCTCGAAAATGATCAGCCGAATAACAACTCATTGCTTGATAAAGAAAATGGTAATAGTAAATGAAAATAGTTTCATTGAAAGAACCCATTCATAAGCTCGTTAAGACGAGCAAAATCCACGTCCCCTTCAACAGGACGGGCTCGCCAGAGAGTTTCCTCCCGCTCGGCTGTCGCCGAAATGGGAGGAGCCCTCTCAAAAATCAAAATATTTTGAGAGTGACGAAGATAGTCTTCACCACATCTCAATTTAAAACTACCACTAGTATGATGCGGCTCGACAGATAAGATAGCTTTGTCAGCCGCATCACGAGTAAAAGTAATAGAGTCGCCATCTCTGGCGAGAAAATAGACCACATCGAAAATCTTCACCGTCATCGACACGGAGCCGTGCTCCTCTTTCTTCTCAAACTCGAAAGGATGTTTCCCCGGAGATTTGCGATGCTTCAGCACGACGTCCACCCTCCTGTTCTTGCGAAACAGGGCCACGACAGAGGTGGAATCACTTAGGTTGTAGAGATAGTTGATCATAGGGAAAACTCTAGGAACTGCTTGCAATAACGATGCTGTATTGCATGATCATCATGAGACGGACGCTAACGCAAACAGTAACCCTATTATTTGATAATTGAACAAACCATGGCACCATGAAAAGTGATGAATTAGTATCAATGTCGAGCACTGCTCGACGATCAATACTTATAATGGGATTACGTCAGTGCCGAAGAGTGGTTCACACATCAACAGCGATAACGACGACAGTGATGTGAGACAAAAGGCGACGATAATGATAAAAACAGCATCCATATATCAGCTTGATGATAAGCTCCGACAAGCTTGCTTGGTCCCCGAGTCACATGGGAATCTCAAAGTTCGATAAGTCAGTGAGCCGGACGGCCAATCACGCACAATGCATCATGCAGTCGTAACGCCAAAAATCAAACTCTGTCGAGTCATCACTTGCTCGCTACCATGACAGATAACATGGAAGATCCGGATGCCTCGACATGATAATCGTACCTTCCCAGTTGTGTACGGTACACAGCGTACCACCACAGTAGCAGTCTTCATGTGCAGGCATACACAATCCCCACGTTCTGACCACCTATTGAATATACTACGAAGAAAGTTCTCCGCCTATGAGCTTACATTATAGCTTATGGTGAATGCAAAGCATGGAGAAGACTCACATCAGTAATGGTCGTCGGGGACAGCAGGGATTCCACAGATACTCGAGTCGACAGGAGGCCTGCGTTGGCTCTCGATACAGATGAGGATCTAGCAACTATGAAAGAATACATGTATAACAACAACGCAAGACATTTACCTTTCTAGCCGAGACTCAGGGACACTCGGCGACTGCACAGGGTGAACCCAAGGTGCCATCTTTTCATACATAGGCCAATACGTTATCTGGCGACTCGCCAGAGTAAGGATATCTGCACTTCTTGTTGCAGCGCCTTCATCATTCCGAGCAATTCTTCAACCGACGAGGCAGTCAAATCCCCTTCCACAACATCTAGAAGGTGCCCTATCTCCTCTATCTCGGCTCCCAGATCCATCTCGAAGAACTCAATATTGGCTTCAGTGAGGCTAATATTGGGCCAATAACACAAGCCGCCTCACAAAGATCCAACCAACCGGCCTTCTCAAACGACTTTGTAATAATGTCATCCACCATACCTTCCCAACCAACACTGACGACTCTGACGCTCCCCACTGCCCTCCACAACACGCCATCGAAATGATGCCTCCAATGCGTGCCACATGCTTGCCGCCACTCTGCAGCATCTCCGGGACCGCATAGACACTATGGATCAGAGACAACCCTACTCGTCCTCGTTAACAGCCCGGAAGATATGATACCACGCGCAGCGGACAACCAAGTTCATAGAGAGTTCCATAAACTCCTCTTTCACAACCCTCTCATACCACTTCTCTTCTCGCTTCGCCACATTCTCTATCTTCTTGAGTGAAGTTCACTCAGTGAACCCACATACACCCGAGGGCATAGCAGCTGCCGACTACATCACCAAGTACAATTCGGCATCGTCGGTCGAAGACTTCCATTTCAACATCAACGTCAAGGCCTCGCATGGCACACCAGGCAATGCCGAGCGCATATTGTCGAGGATGCGAAACTTCGCGGTTTCCGAGAAGTCAGTCACCACCACTTGTTGCTGCTCCTCACTAGCAGAGACAATCAGAACCGTCCTATTTACTAAATCTTTATATTTGTATAGAATATGCCTTTTTCCTAAAGAAGTTTAGCGGACACAATCACCTGTATTTCGACTCAGCCTTGGTTCACCCGCAGTTCATGTTATTTTGGAATTTGCAGTTTAGATTCTTACTTGCGTTCCGGTCATCATCTGGATCTCAATTCTTACCTTACATTTAGGCCGCGCGCTGATATCATGTTCTTTGGTTTTTATGCATACCCTCGCTTACATTCGATGCTGCACTGCTATGAGATTCAACGTAACTCTGCTGTCAATAGGCTGCTTCGTGATAAGGAGGTCTCGTATACGATTGATACTCATGAGTGACACGCTCAGGTGTAGCATGTAACTCGTTGATTAACAGTTTGAAGTGCCCCGAGATCATAGTCCAACAACAGGGCGGGCGAGTCAGTGAGAGCTATGATGAATAGTCTGTAGATTGGACCCATAGTCGGGAAATGGCCTACACTCTATCAACCCAAGGAGCCTCCTCAAAATCTAAATTATATTGGAGATTTAAATCAACTTAATATGAAGTTGAACATTGCACTATTGACGAACCTTAGTGAACACGGAAATGTAAAGTCGAAAGTAGTATAATCCCACATCACCAACAACAACAATGGTGATGGTGGTTACCTTCTTAACGGTCATAGTAGAACATCCTACAATCTTACATACAGTAATAACAGCGAGATACTAATGAACGTCATGAATAAATGTAAGTAGGCATAAACGGAAGTCGTTTCGAAGACTGGTAAATCCGATGACACTGAGACAGAAGTTGTCGTCTACTGATACACACTACACCCATAGTGCAGGCGGCTTTAGTGATAAAGTACAAAAACCGTACTAAACAGTGCGACCAGATGCCTTGTCCTTATGAAACCAATGGAGAGAGCATCACTGATGGCTGAAACTGTGGTTAAAGAATTTGAATGAAAAACGGTACGAATGATGAAACAAAGTAGAAACACACCGCATGTGAGTTTATTGTTTTGCCATCATCGCAACGAATTCATCAAAGTCGATTTCGCCATCGCCATTAGCATCTGCTTGCTTGAGGATTTCCTCGATATGGCCACTAACAAGGTCGCTGACTTCACCGTTATTCAGAACCTCGGCCAACTCGAGCGGCGTAATCTTCCCATCACCGTCGCGGTCAAACACTCTGAAGGCTCCCCAAAGACGATCTTCTTGTATATACTTCTTCTCTAAAAGGAAGCGACTGTATCATCACCCAACGAGAAAATCCTAAACGTAACGGGGGGATGCCAACAACATCGTTTCAAGAGCAATCGTCTATCACTAAAACTATACACACATAAAACGACTAGTATATGTATCACAGAAAGTTAGCGAGATATTCATTTTTAAATATAGTAAATTTGTTTCCAGTGGTGTGAAATATTGCTCTTTCCTAATCATTTCTCCACACTAAAGAGAACCCATAACACATAACACTGCAGTTTAAACGGGAAATGTTCACAACAGTGCAAAAAATTATTGCAAGGCAAGTCTGGACGCGGGAGAGGCATCACTACTAGACTCACTATCTAGTGTAGCTGCCAGGAACTCCGTATAGTCGATCACGCCCGAACCATCAGAATCCACTTGAGTCATAATGTCCATAAGATCATCTGGAATATCCTTGAGACCTGTACGCATACCACTACATCGACAATTCTCATAGCACACATACACTCACCAGATTTCTGTATGCCCTCGACGACTTCCTGTATGGTAAGTTGACCATCGCCGTTAGTATCCATAGAAGTGAACACCTTCTTGAGCTGAACAATCTCCTCATCGGGCATTTGCTGAGCTATGATATTCAATGCTGCCTGATCGTTCACATCCAACGACTGTTCGAAATGAAGATACGACAATTACCTTTTTGAGTTTATTTAAACTCCGAAAGGACTTCAAGTTATTCATCTGAACACCTTCCAAGGGGGCGTCTTCTGCGCCTGGGGCGTGATTCTTCACCCATGGGTGATTTAAAGCTTGCTCGGCTGGGAAAAAAAAGAGCTTGCTTTTCACAGTGGAGATATTACCCTCCCAAAATTACCAGTATAACGCTCTTGCGGATTCATTTTCAACAACTTCCGTATGAGGTCCTTGGCATCCGCTGAAATATTCTTCCAATCACTAGCGTTAAAAGTGTAGTTGCCAAGCCGCACTTTAGTGAGGACGTCAGCGTCAGTCTCGCCGTAAAAAGGAGGATAACCACATAATAAAATATACCTAGAAAAAAAATCATACCGCACGCTGAAAAAATCACGTATTACATTATAACGCCGCAACTCCATAGATCACATTCCTGATCGTATTGGCCGGCGAGAACTTGAGGCGCCACATAGTAGGGTGTACCCGCTTTAGTTTTCATAAGTTCATTATCATTAAAGTGCGTGCTCAGACCGAAATCTATAAGTTTAATCCACGACTTCTCGATAGGGTCCTTGTTGAGGAATAGGAAATTCTCTGGTTTCAAATCGCGATGCACTATATGGTTTTCGTGCATATAATATACTGCTCGGAAAATCTGCTGCATTACAATAGCCGCCTGGACTTCTGTGAAGCGACCCTCGTCAATGATCCTATCAAAGAGTTCACCTAAAATACACTTTTACGTTAAGTAATAGTAGTATGATAATATTATTACCTCCTGTGCATAGTTCCATAATGAGATATATATTCCGATGATCCTCAAATGTCTCGAATAGTTTAATAATATTAGGATGATCCAACATCTTCATAATAGCTATCTCTTGTTTAAATCGATCTATGTTCTTCACATGGGATTTTGATATTGTCTTTACCGCACGGACCTGAACATCATCAACTTACTCACTTCTAGTCAAAACCATAGACTTCTACCGCATGTGTCGACTTATTAACAGCTTTTGTTACAGAGCCGTACGTGCCTTGCCCGATCTTCTTACTATCAACATCATAATACTCCAACAACGAACCGTTATTATCCAGGATGAAATTAGCTCGCCCGAAACCACCTTCAGCAACCTAAAATTAATAATGCAAGTCACCCTTCACAGCGATATACCACAAATTCACCTCTTTTTGTAAAGTCGAACCGCTGGACGTCAGCCCTGCTTTAGATCTGAGCGCCTTCTTTGACGGATTCTTTGAACCGCAAAGTCCCATTGTATCGATGAAATTATGAACTGTTGAATTGCAGCTTTTATTTTCACATCATCGCACTCGCGAAAAATTCCAATCGTTAATTTCACGATTTTTTACTCGAAATTTCCGGAAAAAAATAATATTCGCTGTGAGCCGTCCCCAGAACCCGTTTTTTCAATGAATAACCCGGTCGTCTGGAAATGAGAACAGATAATAGCCCCCCTCCTCCCTAATAGGAGAACCGTACGACTACAACTGCGAAGATCTAGATCTGGAACAAGATGTCTCATTTCCAAAAATTCATCACTCTCAATGTCCAACTCGGTGGTGTGAGAGAATACTAACGAAGTTAGCCACTAGCGATTTCCAAAGTTTTGTGCAACATGCTTTGGTCATAGTCATATTGGCTCTTATAGGACCAAATTCTAAATAGCAGAGCACAACATAATCGTCGCTCGAAGAAGTGCGTTAAAACGTCCCAACGGCCAACGCTCCTATTCTTACTACATCACAGTCTGATACACTAGTTAAATTTGGGCATCGTTTAATAAAACGATTTCCAAGCTCAGAGTCGCTTTTTCCACGTATAATACGATGCTAGGATAGACCCCGAATTCCACAGTTGAGTCAATGCTCATGTGGTTGGTGAGTTGTTCGCCAATTCGAAGCGCCTTTAGTTGACTACCCGATATCGTGATTCGACTTACTACAGGTTGGCATGAAAAAATTAGCTGGTTTTTAATATTTCAAGAGTTACGTATATTTATAACTGTGCTTGTGTCAGTGAAGTTTCACCCTAGTGATATGAAAAACACTACTCCTTTTAAAGGCCTATTTCGCATTTGATAAGATCAATTTCGCAGGGCGAGCAATCATCCGAGCCTAGATGTGCCCTAGTAAGATCAATTTCGTCAGCGCACTCCATAGAAAAATCAATTTCGCCGGCACGTCTGAAGTAAATTCAATTTCGATGAAAGGCGGAAATCGATTTCGCTGATAGTATAGCAATGA